GAGGTCAGGGCTTTGTGATGGCCACTCCAATACCTTGACTTTGTTGTCCTTAAGCCATTTTGCCACAACTTTGGAAGAATGCTTGGGGTCATTGTCCATTTGGAAGACCCATTTGCGACCAAGCTTTAACTTCCTGACTGATGTCTTGAGATGTTGCTTCAATATATCCACATAATTCTCCTTCCTCATGATGCCATCTATTTTGTGAAGTGCACCAGTCCCTCCTGCAGCAAAGCACCCCCACAGCATGATGCTGCCACCCCCATGCTTCAAGGTTGGGATGGTGTTCTTCGGCTTGCAAGCAGCCCCCTTTTTCCTCAAAACATAACGATGGTCATTATGGCTAAACAATTCTATTTTTGATTCATCAGACCAGAGGATATTTCTCCAAAAAGTATGATCTTTGTCCCCATGTGCAGTTGCAAACCGTAGTCTGGCTTTTTTATGGCGGTTTTGGAGCAGTGGCTTCTTCCTTGCTGAGCAGCCATTCAGGTTATGTGGATATAGGACTTGTTTTACTGTGGATATAGATACTTTTGTACCTGTTTCCTCCAGCATCTTCACAAGGTCCTTTGCTGTTTTTTTGTGATTGATTTGCACTTATCGCACCAAAGTAGGTTCATCTCTAGGAGACAGAATTTGTCTCCTTCCTGAGCGGTATGACGGCTGCGTGGTCCCATGGTGTTTATACTTGCATATTATTGTTTGTACAAATGAACGTGGTACCTTCAGGCGTTTGGAAATTGCTCCCAAGGATGAACCAGACTTGTGCAGGTCTACAAATTTTTCTCTGAGGTCTTTGCTGATTTCTTTTGATTTTCCCATGATGTCAAGCAAAGAGGCACTGAGTTTGAAGGTAGGCCTTGAAATACATCCACAGGTACACCTCCAATTGACTCAAATGATGTCAATTAGCCTTCTAAAGCCATGACATCATTTTCTGGAATTTTCCAAGCTGTTTAAGGCACAGTCAACTTAGTGTATGTAAACTTCTGACCCAATGGAATTGTGATACAGTGAATTATAAGTGAAATAATCTGTCTGTTAACAATTGTTGGAAAAATTACTTGTGTCATGCACAAAGTAGATGTCCTAACCAACTTGCCAAAACTATAGTTTGTTAACAAGACATTTGTGGAGTGGTTGAAAAACGAGTTTTAATGACTCCAACCTAAGTGTATGTAAACTTCCGACTTCAACTGTATAGGCCGAGACAATAAGAAGACACATTGGCAGAATAAATTCATCCACTTCTTTGTTTCATCACAAAACCGGAGAGCAACCTCTGTCCAGTGAAGTCAACAAAGCATATTGCCTGAAACAAACAGTTACATAATCCACAGCATGGTCAATCAAGTTATTTTTCCAACATTTTTGGACTACTAAACAACTATTGATTTAGAACCACGGAGAGTTACCGCAAGTCGAAAAGACAACAGGAGTTGCCTCCACTATTCCAGCACCATTTCAACTTCAACATCATCAAATCACCTACGCTTATTTTAATACAGTGACAACCAAAAACAATTTAGTCCAACGTAAGCTACAGTGCCTTGCAAAAGTATTCACCCCCCTTGGCGTTTTTCCTATTTTGTTGCATTACAACCTGTAATTTATATGGATTTTCATTTGGATTTCATGTAATGGACACACACAAAATAGTCCAAATTAGTGAAGTGAAATGAAAACAATAACTTAAAAAATTGGTGCAAAAAAGTCACAATTTTTTTTTACGGAAAAGTGGTGTGTCCATATGTATTCACCCCCTTTGCTATGAAGCCCCTAACTCCTGAGTGGCACAGTGGTCTAAGGCACTGCATCGCAGTGCTAACTGTGCCACTAGAGATACTGGTTCGAATCCTGGCTCTGTCGCAGCCGGCCGCGACCGGGAGACCCATGGGGCGGCGCACAATTGGCCCAGCGTCGTCCAGGGTAGGGGAGGGAATGGCCGGCAGGGATGTAGCTCAGTTGATAGAGCATGGCGTTTGCAACGCCAGGGTTGTGGGTTCGATTCCCACGGGGGGCCAGTATAAAAAGATATGTATTCACTAACTGTAAGTCGCTCTGGATAAGAGTGTCTGCTAAATGACTAAAATGTAAAAATGTAAATAAGATCTGGTGCAACCAATTACCTTCAGAAGTCACATAATTAGTTAAATAAAGTCCACCATGAAGACCAAGGAGCTCTCCAAACAGGTCAGGGACAAACTTGTGGAGAAGTACAGATCAGGGTTGGGTTATAAAAAAATATCAGAAACTTTGAACATCCCATGGAGCACCATTAAATCCATTATTAAAAAATGGAAAGAATATGGCACCACAACAAACCTGCCAAGAGAGGGCCGCCCACCAAAGCTTGCAGGCAAGGAGGGCATTAATCGGAGAGGCAACAAAGAGACCAAAGATAACCCTGAAGGAGCTGCAAAGCTCCACAGCGGAGATTGGAGAATTTGTCCATAGGTCCACTTTAAACCGTACACTCCACAGAGCTGGGCTTTACGGAATAGTGGCCAGAAAAAAAGCCCTTGCTTAAAGAAAAAAATTAGCAAAAGGCATGTGGGAGACTCCCCAACCATATGGAAGAAGGTACTCTGGTCAGATTAGACTAAAATTGAGCTTTTTGGCCATCAAGGAAAACGCTATGTTTATCACCCTGAGAACACCATCCCCACAGTGAAGCATGGTGGTGGCAGCATCATGCTGTGGGGATGTTTTTCATCGGCAGGGACTGGGAAACTGGTCAGAATTGAAGGAATGATGGATGGCGCTAAATACAGGGAAATTATTGCATACTGCTAAAGCAACACTTGAGTGGTTTAAGGAGAAACATTTAATGGTCTTGGAATGGCCTAGTCAAAGCCCAGACCTCAATCCAATTGAGAATCTGTGGTATGACTTAAAGATTGCTGTAAACCAGCGGAACACATCCAACTTGAAGGAGCTGGAGCAGTTCTGCCTTGAAGAATGGGCAAAAATCCCAGTGGCTAGATGTGCCAAGCTTATAGAGTTATATCCCAAGAGACTTGCAGCTGTAATTGCTGCAAAAGGTGGCTCTACAGAGTATTGACTTTGGGAGGGGATAGTTATGCACGCTCAATAGTTATGCACGCTCAATAGTTATGCACGCTCAAGTTTTAGGCATGTTGTGTAAATCAAATGATACAAACCCCCCCAAAAAATCAATTTTAATTCTAGGCTGTAAGGCAACAAAATAGGAAAAATGCCAAGAGGGGTGTTATGATGAGTTTCTCGGGTATCAAAGAATCAAGGATGCAAGGATATACTGAGACACTTTTGTAGACAGTTAATGCAAATGTTTAATGATCGGTACCGGGTTCGTTACAACAATGACCAGAGCTTTGCCCTTGATGTTACGAACTATCTTGAACAAAGAAGACACTCTACCTTATACACCCTTTATTACCCTCTTCCTGGCATACATCTGGCAAGTCTCCATGGGCACTCCCTGTCTTTGATGTTCATCACTCTTTACCCCAAGTCACAATACTAAACATCACTCATGCTATCCTAAACATCACTCATGCTATCCTTAACATCACTAATCTACCTTGACATAATGGAATGTAGACTTCATGGCCCCAAACCACTCATCTCTTAACTCTTCCTCTGTCCTCACAATACTATGACATGACATCATTACAGGGGGTAAATACTTTCGCAAGCCACTGTAAATATAATGTGGCTGTCCATGGCACTGATTGTGTGTGTGTGTGTGTATACGTGCTTCAATGTAGAAAGAAAACATGTTGACTCTACTAGAGAAACGCCATCCTCCTCTTTCTATCCTGATTAACCTGGTCGTGACAGTTCACTGAGACTAACCTGGTCCTGACAGTCTACTGAGACTAACCTGGTCCTGACAGTTCACTGAGACTAACCTGGTCCTGACAGTTTACTGAGACTAACCTGGTCCTGACAGTTTACTGAGACTAACCTGGTCCTGACAGTTTACTGAGACTAACCTGGTCCTGACAGTTTACTGAGACTAACCTGGTCCTGACAGTTTACTGAGATTAACCTGGTCCTGACATTATACTACATTCTACAGAGACTAACCTGGTCTTGACAGTTCACTGAGACTAACCTGGTCCTGACAGTCTACAGAGACTAACCTGGTCCTGACAGTCTACAGAGACTAACCTGGTCCTGACAGTCTACAGAGACTAACCTGGTCTTGACAGTTCACTGAGACTAACCTGGTCCTGACAGTCTACAGAGACTAACCTGGTCCTGACAGGTTACTGAGATTAACCTGGTCCTGACATTATACTACAGTCTACAGAGACTAACCTGGTCTTGACAGTCTACAGAGACTAACCTGGTCCTGACAGTCTACTACAGTCTACTGAGACTAACCTGTCATTGTCTGTCTGTCTGTCTGTCTGTCTGTCTGTCTGTCTGTCTGTGTAGAGTCTGTCCTGCAGCGTATGGTGGAGACCCTGGAGAGGTACGGTGTTGATCCTAGAGACCTGACACCCCAGCAGCTCTACAGACTGGCTGTGGTGCTGCAGCTGATGAAGGCTGAGGACCAGGAGAACACAGGTACTACAGGCCTCTGTCTGTCTGTCTGTCTCTCTCTCTCTCTCTCTCTCTCTCTCTCTCTCGTCTCTCATCTCTCCTCCTCTCCCCTCTCTTCTCTCTCTCCTCCCCTCTCTCTCTCTCTCTCTCTCTCTCTCTCCTCTCTCTCTCCTCTCTCTCCTCTCTCTCTCTCTCTGTCCTGTCTGTCTGTCCTGTCTGTCTCTCTCTCTCTCTCTCTCTCTCTGTCTGTCTGTCTCTCTGGCCGTGGTGCTGCAGCTGATGCAGGCTGAGGATCATCTGCCCTTTGTGACGGAACTAGCTATGAAGTGTTGCGCCCACATACTCATTCTACAGCACACTGTGACTGATCTGACACAGAACTGTTCTGGCTATGATATGTTCTTCTCATATTAGTCTTTTCCTGCCTTGTTTTCGACCATCCTGATCTGGTGAGCGTCAAGATGGTGGATCAGGTCAGTCCATTTCAGCACAGTTCCAAAAACTATGGTGGATGCCTAACAAGGCCAGCTCAGTACATCTGTCTGCACACAGAAGGGCGCGTAGCCATTCAACACCAATGAATAATGAATGAATGACACATTAGTCATTCCCTGTACTCCATCTGCCTTGATAAAACATCATTATATAATGCTTTCATTATTCTATTTTTTTTTCAGATCCATTTTCCAATGATCTGATCACACTGAAGGAGGTATGTGCAGAAATACAGTAATAATAACATGATGTATATATTATAATAATGTTATAATGGTCATTGTCCTGTCTCTGGGTGTCTCTGGGTCTCCTCCACACAGACACAGCAGATGCTTAAAAGCAGTGACACCGTGTCCAACAAGGGAGAGAATTCTCCCGTCCCTGTCCCCCCTCCCTCCTCTACCACAGTACCTGATGTGTCCCCTACCCTGGCCCCTGCTGCCACTAGTCCCACCCTCACAGCACCTATAGGGGGCAGTGTGACGGCCAAGGGCCCCTCTGTCTCTGTGGAAGGGAAGGAGAAAGGCTCCAATGTCCCAGCAGGTAATAGGGACGTTTTAGCAGCTGCTGGGGGAGGGACAGCAGCCAGGGAGGAGTACGGATACATCGTCACCAACCAGAGGTCAGTCCTGGTAACTTACTGCGTGGATCTCTTATACACACACTCAAGTTAGGATTCAGACCTTAGTCTCTAATACCGGATTTAAAGTTAGGATTCAGACCTTAGTCCCTAATATCGGATGTAAAGTTAGGATTCAGACCTTAGTTCCTAATACCGGCTGTAAAGTTAGGATTCAGACCTTAGTCCCTGATACCGGATGTAAAGTTAGGATTCAGACCTTAGTCCCTATACCGGATGTAAAGTTAGGATTCAGACCTTAGTCCCTGATACCGGATGTAAAGTTAGGATTCAGACCTTAGTCCCTGATACCGGATGTAAAGTTAGGATTAGACCTTAGTCCCTAATACTGGATTTAAAGTTAGGATTCAGACCTTAGTCCTATATTCCGGATTGTTAAAGTTGGATTTCAGACCTTAGTTGCCCGGAATATTTGATTTTTTTAGTATTTTTAAAGTTAGGATTCAGACATAGTCCTAATACCGGCTGTTTGGTAATGTGTTTGTGTGTTTTGGTTTAAGTTGATTTGTGTGTACAGTTAGTTTTAGGATTCAGACCTTATAGTCCTGATACCGGATTGTTAAAGTGTAGGGATTCAGACCTTAGTCCCTGATTGCCTGATTACCGGATTTATGTTTTTGTAATTTTTTTTTTTGTAAAGTTAGATTCAGACCTAGTCCAATACTGGATTTTAAAGTTAGGACTTTCAGATCCTCAGTCCCTAATACCGGTGTAAGTTAGGGATTCAGACTTAGTCTCTAATACGGATTTAATAGTTTAGGATTTCTAGACATTAGTCTCCTAATACTGGATTTTTGAAAGTTAGGATTCAGACCTCAGTCCCAATACCGCTGTAAGAGTTAGGATTTAAGACATCAGTCCCTAATCCCGCTGTAAATGTTAGGATTCGACTTAGTCTCCCTAATATTGGTTCAAAGTTAGTTCAGACCTATAGTCCCTTGTACCGGATATTTTGTGTAAAGTTAGGTGAGTCATGACCTTAGTTTAATTACCGGCTGTGTTATTTTTGTGCGTAAAATGGGCTAGGATTCATGAACCATAGGCTCTTAATTACCGGTGCTTGTGTGTAGTGTTGTGGTGTTGAAAGTGAGGATTTAGACCTTTAGTTCCTAATACCGGCTTGGCTGTTTACTTTAAAGGTGGATTTACAGACCATAGTCTTAACATAGTCTTCGCTACTAATAATGGCTTTTGTTTGTAAATGTGAGGGAATTGGATTTCTTCATTTTCATTTCAAACCTTAGTCCATTAAATACTGGGTCTGTAGGAATTGAGGAGATCAATTTGTAGATTTGGCTTTTGTTACTACATCTAAATGTGATATTTGTACTGCCATAATGTCAATTATATCAGTTAGCTCTGCAGTGATGGATCTTTTGGTGCGAGGAATTCTTTTACTGCTTTTCTTATAAGTATGTTGAGTTGTTATTAGACTCCAAGTGGTTCCAAAGGGGCCTATGGTTGTTATGTGGTGTGTTTGCTGTTTGGTTGAGGATCGTTCAAGGTACTTTCCTTAATTCTCCTTCTTAATTGCACTTGTCGTTTGTTGTGTTGTTGTTGTTGTTGTTTGTTTGTTTGTGGTTGTGTTTGTGTTGTGGTGTTGTTTTTGTTGATTGTGTAGTATGTTTTGTGGTTCTGTTGCTTGTCCATGTCCTGTCTCCAGTCTGTGTTTATTGTATGTATGGGAGTTGATATGAGTGAATGAAGTGATGATATGACAAAGGGTAGTGATGATTGAGAGTGAGATGATGAGTGATTTGATTGTTTGATTTGTGATGTTGATGATGATGGTTTGAAGTGATGATGATTGGATGGAAATGGTGATTGAAGTGATTGATGCACAACTTGATGAAATTTGAGTGATGTAAACGTGAATGAAAAAATGTATTGATGAGTGGTGAAGTTGATTAGTGATGAGCTGAAAACTGGATGATCAGTGATGATGAAACTTGTGTCAGTGATTTGATGACGTTCGTTTGATGAAGAGTGATTAGTTGAGTGATTGATTGACATACTGGATGATCTACTGGGAAGGGAAGTGAAGGATAAGCAGATGCGAGAGAATATCAAAATGGCATGGTATTAATACCAGAGAAAGATCCTTCAGTCAACATCATGGTTAGGGGGTTTCTGGTTATACCTGTACTTGTTCTTATCCGTGTGGTTTGGTTTGTGGTGGTGGGGTGTGGAGAGGGTGGTCCGTTGATGGGGGGTTATTGTGAGTGTCTGTCTGTTTGTGGATTGGTGGGTGTGGGGGGGGGTTGTTGGTGGGATGCGGTGAGTGTGGTGTGGTATGGGGAGAGGGTGGGTGGTTGGGCGGTGGGTTTGGGGGTGAAGTTTGTCGAGCTGGGGGGTTGGCGTATGGTGATGACTGGATGGGTGTGTATGGGGTGGAGAGTTGGGTGGCTTGGTGGTGGTGTGGTTGGGAGTTGTGGTGTGGAATATGGGTGGGTGTTGGAAGAGTGCGTTTTCGTTTGGACCGTGGGCTGTTTGTTGCGTCGGGTGGTGCGAGTCGCGTGTTGCAGTTTTTTGCCGGTTTGACTTGTGTGTGTTTGTTGAAGTGCTGAGGGTGTCAAGCGCGCTAATCGTATTAAGCGCGCCATTTGTGTTTTGTATGTTATCGTGTCTGCCTTAGTGACCTGTGGGGGTGACGTCTAAGGTTAATTAAGGTAAATATTTGGTAAATAAGTCGATTTAATATAACTATATTCTCTACTTCGTATGTCTGCTCCAGTGTGTGTGGTGTTCTTGTCCGGCCCCTTTCTTCTCTCCCTCTTGACGTTCTCGGATCAGACAAGTAACCCTCTGATTGTGAATATTGGAGGCAGAGACGTTGGCTGTGGAAGACTGTGGTGTGAGGAGTCTCTCTCGTCTTTTATCAGGGTGGACTCTGGTGGCTGATTGTATCTCTCTGTTGATCGCCTGTCTGACTATCTCTGTGGAGGGGAGATATGGAAGAGATGTGGAGAGACGAGATAAGAGAACAGAGAAGTGAGAGTGAGGGAGAGGAGAGAGAGGAGATAGAGGAAGATAGTAGTAGGAGATAGAGGGGTCCGTATGTAAGTATTGAGGATGGATATATCTGTAGAGATAGGGAGGATCTATATCTCTCTCTCTCTAGCTCTTCTCGTCGGATCTATCTTATAGATACTATATTTCGTATATCTATCTATCGTCTCTCTCTTATCGCGATATGCTGAGTCTCTATGATATCCTCTAGCTCTATATGATCTCTCGCCGTTATCTATTATTCTGGCTCTCTCTCTGGAGATTCTACATCTCTCGCTCTGTTTATCATTTCGCTCTATCTGTGGCTCTCTCTCTCTCTTATATCTCTATCCAGTCTGATGTCTAGATATGGTATGGCTCCTAGAGTCTATATGGTTATCGCTATCTCTCCTGTCTGTATCCTCTCGATCTCGCGGATCGAGGGGGAGAGAGAGGGAGAGAGTGGGGGGGGGGGAGCAGGGAGAGAGAGAGGGGAGAGGGAGAGAGAATAGAGAGAGCGATAGAGAGAGAGAGCGAGCAGTAGAGGCGATGATGAGAGGAGAGAGACGAGAGAGGAGAGAGAGAGAAGAGAGAGAGAGAGAGAGAGAGAGAGAGGGGGAGAGCGAGAGAGATATATATAGATAGAAAGATAGAGCATATAGTAGAAGAGAGAGATAGAGAGAGATATATCGCGATAACTGATCTATATCGATAGGTCATATATAGATATAGAGATAGATAGGATATATGTACTAGGTATATAGAAGTATACGAGAGAGAGATGTTTATATAGAGAATAGAGGGTTTAGATCTATATGTATAGAGATGATATATCGCTAGAGACGAGAGAAGAGAGAGAGATAGATGATAGCTGCTCTTCTCTCGCTCTTTCTGTCTCTCTTATCTCTCTCTTCTCTCCTCTCTTCTCTCTCTCTCTGTCTCGCCTCCTATCTCTCTCTCTCTTCTCTCTCTCTCTATCTCTTCTTCTATCTCTCTTCGGTCTCTCGCTATGGATGTTCTCTATATCTTCTCTCTCTCTCTCTCTTCTCTTCTGTGTTCTTTCTCTGTGTCTCTCTTTCCCCCTATCTCCCTCATGTTCTGGCTCACAGATTAAAATGCTGCACAAGAGGGAGACAGAGAGACAGACGGACAGAGAGACAGACAGACAGACAGAGATAATTAAACTGGGTCTGGGATCCATTATGTTTGGCTGTGTCCAAACCGAACATATTCCATGACATATGTGTCTACTTACTTTTACCTGGGTCATCGCTTTTTATGGCTTCTGTTCATTTGCAGTTGCACAGCCTCTATCAGAAGCCAGGTCAGCTGTCTTCTGTGCTTCTTATATTTTCAGGACATTCTGGTTTCTAGTCATTTTCTAATCCCTACATTTCATGCAATCCTAAAATTCTAATTTAACTCAACCATTGTGTGGTTTCATATTTAATATTTATTTTTTTCGTATGTTAATATCAGAGCTATTTATTCGAGACGTTCTTGAAAGGGAATTGTAATTTTTTTAAAAATCACAAACGAGTTATGTGACAATGAAAGTACTATTACAAAATAGGATATGATCTTATGAGCCCTTAGAAGATGTGAGCCTGATTTGATGATATTTTCATTGTCTGTCTGTTGCGGCAGTATTAAGGTTGGGCCCTGGCTGGGTGTTTGAGAGGCATGCACATGTACTGTATTGTCAACAACTATGTGACATGTGTGCCTTTCCCTTGTCCTCTTTCAGGTGATTCTATGTTAGACTAAACCTAATCTGAGCCTCATAGGAGCTGATCAGTCAACATGAGATGAGTCCAAACGGCACTGCCTATTCCTACTGTTAGTGTCATCTTTACTTTATGCCAGACTGGGTTGAGAGAACGGTCACTCCTTATTCCTATCATAGTGCCCCACACCTATCAGACCAGAGAGTGTAATTGGCACCCTATTCCCCTCTTATGATAGTTGCACTACGTTTTTAGACCAGAGTAAGTCCTTTTTTGTTTATGACATCCCTATTTCCCTATATAGTGCACTCACATGGTGAGACCAGAGAATGGCACCCTATTCACTATATAGTGCGACTATTAGACCAGAAATTGGCACCCTATTCCCTCTATATAGTTGCCACTACTTTTGGACCGAGAATGGCACCCTATTCCATAATAGTGCACTACTTTAGACAGATGAACGGCACCCTATTCCCTATATAGCGTGCATAACTTATTTAGACTCAGAGAGTACGTCGCACCCTATTCCCGACGTTGTAGTTGCACTACTTTTAGACCGTGAGTGTAACGGCACACCTATTGTCGATATTCTAGTGCACTACTTTTAGACCAGAGAACGGCACCCTAATTCCCTATATAGTGCACTACTTTAGACCAGAGAACGGGTGACCCATTCCCTCATACTGTAGTGCACTACTTTAGACCAGTAGAAGTGGCACCCTGATTTCCCTTATCTGTGTTTAGTGCAATACTTAGACGAGAACGGCACCCTATTCCTACGTAGGGCACTACTGTTTAACCAGGCGGCCCATAGGCACAGAAAGAATAGTGGTTGAGGTCATGAATATAACTGTCTTGATTCTGGTTTGTGTGGGTTTCGTTCCTCGGTCGTGTCACGTGAGAAGGACATTTCTGGAGTCGAGACAGACTGAAGTATCCTTGAAGACTGGTGTGGGAGATTACCTTGGTACGAGAGAAACTAGAAAGACTGGTGGGGTAGAGGTACAGTAGAACTGCAGACTGGTATTTGTGGAGAGTGTACTAAGTAGAACTACAGACGGGTGCTGGGAGAGCGGTTACAGTGAGACTACAGACTGGTGTGGGAGAGGCTACTAGAGTAAAACGTGAATGGGTGTGGGAGAGGTACGTTAGAGAGCTACCAGACTTGGGTGGGAGAGGTATCAGTAGAACCTACTAGGACTGGTGTGGGAGATGGTACAGTAGACTGACAGTGTGACTTGGTCGTGGGGAGATGTACGAGAGTTACAGTAGATAACTACCGATGTTGTTGTGGGAGGAGGTACAGTAGAACTACAGAATGGGTTGTGGCAGAGGGTACAGAGAACTACAGACTGGTATTGTGGTTGAGATTTGGTACAGTTAGATAATACAGTGGAGAGTGGGATGAGGTACAGTTTAGAAACTACAGACTGGTGGTGGTGAGGAGAGGGACAGTAGAACTACAGACTGTGTGGGTATGAGGTACAGTAGAACTACATGATCTGTCGTGTTCGGGATGGAGATGGTACAGATAAACACATGAATGGTGTGCGGTGAGATTTTCTGGAGATCGGTTTACAGTAGAACTACAGACTGGTGTGGGAGAGGTACAGTAGAACTACAGACTGGTGTGGGAGAGGTACAGTAGAACTACAGACTGGTGTGGGACAGGTACAGTAGAACTACAGACTGGTGTGGGAGAGGTACAGTAGAACTACAGACTGGTGGGAGATGGAAACCGTCGAATCACACAGACTGCGTGTGGTGCGATGGTTGACAGTAGAACTACAGACTGTGTTTGGTGTGGAGGAGCGGGACAGAGAAAACTACAGGAATGTTGGGGAGAGGTACAGTAGCACTGCAGACTGGGTGGGCGGGTACAGGAGTAACAGTACAGAATTGGTGGGGAGGAGAAGGGTCCAGTAGAAACTGCCTCTATTTGTGCCTCTCACACTCCTCTGATCTCTCGAAAGGAGGGCACACACAGTTGAGGGTG